CAGCTTCGCGTGACATCACACTTAACAAGCGGATAATGTAACCTCACAGTTGGCCACCAAAAATAATCAAACAAATAAATCTTTACGATTGGAAGGCTACAATAACTCTATGGTCTGTGTCACACAACTAAAGGTAAATATAAACTACTAACTAATAACAGTAAAAAACAAACAAACAAGCAAACAACAACTCCCTTCCACAAAGACAGCTCTGCATATGACTGATAGTAGAGTGGAAAATGAGATCTGCTAATTGGGTGAGAGTCTCTCGCCAGCAGAGGCTCGTCTTCGTCTAGAAGGCCACTAAATAATGACTAGAGTCCCTCCGTTCCCCAAATAACCTCCAATACTGCCGAGCTGCAGTCCTGCTCAACAAGTTACCCAGCCTGCATGTGACTCGCCAAATATAACCCCCCGAAACCCTACCACACAACCCTGCAGTCATCAAAGCAAAGTTATTTATAGGGCCAAATAGTGTCTTTTGCAACAAAACAACATACTTGACACTCATTTAAATGGCAGCCGATGAAAAAAAAAAAAGTATTCAGTCCTGCGGCAAACTACTGTAACTTGTGTGGGTGGCAAACGCTGGCGATCCCTTCCAGCAAGCGCAGGGAATTTAATGAATTCGTGGGGTGCCGACCACAAGATCATTAGAACTCAGCGTCTGCTTCTAAACAGCTTTTGTCTGTAACACCGGCCAATTAAAGAGGAATCATGTTGGTAGAAGCTGACATTATGTTCGGAATTTTCCACGAAAGGTCATATGCTTGTAGTGGCCTTTTTAATTCGCAGGAAGTCAAGGTACAAACACATGCTGCTCGTTTCAGAGAAAAAAAATGTTTCATGAAATGTTTAACTGACTATATAAAATGCGTATGGGTCAGTGTGCCTTAAAAGTACAAGTCTTGTTTTGGTGTCTCCAAGCGAGGCAGTAGAAGCGGCCTAATATGTGTTCTTAACAGCACGATTTGCTCTAAAGGGATAACTCACACACAAAAAAAGTCAAATCCTTTCATTGTTTATTGATCTTAAATTGACAGTCTGTAATATATGACTAAACATGATCATGGCGGCATGGTGGGTCAGGGGTTAGGACTGTCGCCCAGTGCTTAATTTGTGAATTGTGAGGTCCCAGAACAGATCGGGGTAACGGATCCGGCATGTTACACGACGATGGAGAGATATCGCGCATGAAAAAGGAGACGGGGTGGGAGTTGGTGCGGTGGATGGCCGAGGGGTGTCGGACGAATGAAAGGAAGCACAGGGTCCCAGTGCCCAGTGGGTGTCGTGGACCAAAGTGAAGAGGATTGGGGAGTCGTTGAAAAAAGTGAAAGTGAACAGCGGACAAGGGAGGAGGGCAGTTGAGGAGCACAAATTAAGCCCTGCTGTCACCTCAAAGCAAGAAGGTTGCTGGTTCGAGTACCGGCTGGGCCAGTTGGCATTTCTGTGTGGAGTTTGCATGTTCTCTCTGTGTTTGTGTGGGTTTCCTCCAGGTGCTCAGGTTTCCCCCAAAGAGTCCAAAGACATGCACTATAGGCGAATTGAATGAACCAATTTGGCATAGTGGGAAATTGTATATATGTTTTCCAGTACTGGGTTGCAGCCGGAAGCGCATCTGCGTTGTAAAACATATGCCGGAATAGTTGGTGGTTCATTCCGCTGTGGTGACCCCTGATAAGTAAGATACTAAGCCGAAAGTAAAAATGAATAAACATGATTGCAAGTAAATGGTTAAACAATATTTTGTCTTCAACTTATAACTGTTAATTATTACTGAATTTTGGACTGACAATCAGTGTTTATTTCGTTGACTAAAAACTTTGTCATAATTTTCATGCAAACTAGTTTCTACTGATGAAAATGAGACGAAACTAAATAAAAATGAAGAGATAATATCCAATCAGAATTAAACTTGTTGTGTGATGAGTGAGGTGTGAAATTGTTTGACAGTCTGTTTAAAAAGACTAGTAGTTTACCTCACTGAAATAAAGTGTGCTTCATTTCTGCTTTTCAATAGGCTACTATTTTTACATGTGAATTGATTGCAGACACATTATTTGACAAATTACTTATAATATAAATAATCAATGCATATCTAATTTTTGGTCTTCAAAGAAAAAGCTGTATTCCATGTTTTAATAAGACTGTTTTATTTAATTTTAGGTTAGAATATTTTGTATAAATAAATGTATAAAATATTTTAATTAAATTACACTTAGATTAAACCAAATCAATTTTTGTCAGCTATATCTATAGAACATCAAAAATCTTGTGAAATTTAGTCAACTAAAACTAGGCAAAACTAAAATGATTCAGAAGACTAATATCTGACTAGAACTAAAATGGAATTTCAGTTAAAAGACTAAGACTAAATCAAAATTTGCTGTCAAATTTGACAACATTTTACATTTCAGTCAGACAGGCTCTTCCTGGTTCTTCCGGCTGGTTCTGTGCCAGAATAGACTGAACTGTGGAACTGTAGACTGAATAAGACCCATATGCAAAACTTTTGGGAATGTCAGATTAATAATATCATGGCTCAACAATAAGGATGGATGTGCTGGCCCAGCGCCGGTTTGAGAGCGTTTCAGGCCAGATTACACAACTTTCACACAGTTTTACGTTCATTGATCTTGCACAACTACTTTATTCCTTCCATTCAGAATTATTTTGTTCATTTCAATAGATGAATTTTGCACAACCTGCTTTATGACTTTAACTTTATATGGACAGATGGATGGACAGACAGACAAAGTAAAGAATTGATTAAATGATTGATGGATTGATGAAATGCAAGAAAATGTAGGAAATAATGGATGCATTAATCCTGCACGTTGTATGATTTATATGCACATTACAAATAAATTAGTTCAAGATCTCCAGCAAAATTAAGATACATGGAGGAACTAAAAGATAAAGGTATGAAGGAAGGATGGATTTATGGATGGATGGATGTATGTAATGGAAAAAAAAACAAATATACAAAAAAAAAAAAAACAATGACAAAGCAAAATGTGGATGGATACAGAGATGTATTTTGCACCAGCAAAATTAGGATTGATGGATAAAATTTTTTATTATTTCATTAACATTTTCCAGCTAAAGTGGGATGAATGGATTTTGTAAAACATTTTTTGTGTGTGATTTAGTCATTGCTTTGCAACACAAAAGTATATTACTTAACACATTCTGAGATTAAATAAATACTTGAATAAATCAATTATTGAAAAAAACTTTCATATAAAAAGAAACTTTAACAGATGTTTATTTTTTATCTTATATACAGTCCTGTGCAAACGCCCTAAGCACTATACACAGACTTTGTTGGCCTAAGACTTTGGCACAACATACAATCAATCACTCTCTTTATCAAACGAACAGAAAAAAATAGGAAATCTGTACAAAAAAACAGCGACAGCACGACATTTCCTCTTCAAGCAATATTCTATGTTTAATGTGGCTTCCCTTGGTATTAAGCACAGCTTGAACTGTTTTGTTCAAATTGTCCTGACAGGGAATAATGTGCTGTGTAATATCAGGCTTCTCTTAGCACTTTCCAGAGTTCTTCTTTATGTTTAAAGTTTAATTCAGGTTTGGACCCTGTGAAGACCATTTCATGACTGTCTGTTTCATGAGCCTTTTTCTTTCTCCAAATAAGATATCCCTGTAATTAGCGGATCATTATCATGCTGAAAATGAATACTACCACCACGGAAGTCCATTCCAGATGAAAAGGGATAATGGATTAAAACCAATCTGTACCTTTTAATGATCACAATTCCATAAATTCAGACAATATTGCTAACAAAACTGGAAGAAATGCCGCTCAAACCAGGACAAACTGTCTATCTCCAACATTCTTTCACATATCTTAAACAATAAAACCAAAATAATTCAAACTCTAACCTAACCCCTCATCCTAAAAAACCCTACATCAATTGAAAAAATAAAGAAATCTCAATTAAAAAAAAAAATTGACAAAGAAATGTGCACTTATGACTGGTTTTGTCACGAAGAGTCACATATATCCATTATACCAAAGGCAAAAAGAGATTTAATGTTTGCCTATAACTATTTCACATAAATATTATTAAAATATATAAGAATATTGAAGCATATATTAATAAGGTAAAAAAAAATTTCTTTCTTTTTTTATTTCTGGTAAATGAATTCTCTGGTAATAGACTTCAACACGCAACTGTTCTGCCACTCTGAGTGGAAATGCTTCCAACCATTGTGGACCAAATCCAGATGTCTATGGCACGGTGCATCACTCAATCCATCACTCAGCTGAAAATACCCAACAGTATCATGATAACACTCCAGTGAACGCCACTGCAGAGGATAATAAATATTCATTCATTCTGTTGAATGGGCTTAATGCTGTGCCCACGGTCCCTGCGGCGGACACAAGTATTCTCCTCCATCTAAGTGGCATGCATTTTTAATACTTTTTATCACATTCCAGGGAGTGGAGAAACAACTGTACAGCATTTAGGACCATTAACCACTCGAGGAGCCGAGATAACATTTGCGTTAACAGGTGTTAGCGCGCCTCCAGTGAAATGGCTCAGCGGATTAGCTAATTCAAATAAGCGGAACGTGCAACCGCAATTTGTCGCAGGCAGTCAAATTTCACATAAAGGTTTTATGCCGTAAGCAGGGCAACAATTTAACCCATGGCTGGGTTGCATTGAGAAATAAAGGATAAAATCAATAATGAAACAGTATCGCTTTCTCAATACATTCATGCATGTCATGATTGAACCATAAATCACCCTTGAGATTGCTTCTTGCTTGAGTCGGCCATATTGTAAGTGCTGTCAGTCTCCAAGCGACCTGACAGTTGAATATTCCGAGATATTCCCAAGAGACCGGGCCCACACAGAGCTCATTCCAGCTGCTTTCAGGTCACTCCGGAAGGTTGGTCACACAAACACATTGTACGCAACATGGATCCAGCCCACACAAGTGGCAATTTGCTCCGGTTTACTCACCCTTTTGCCCTCTTTCCCTGGAGCTCCTGGTTGACCGGGTGGCCCCACGTCTCCCTAATGAGAAGATGGGTAAAAGATCAGGGTCTCCATTTTCAAAACATCTTAAGACAAAACGTAGCCATCATCGATTTAGGAGAAAATCTTTGGGAAAATAATGGGCTTGAAAATCCTAAATTTGGGAAATGAAAAAAAACTGACCCAAATAAAAACCATCCTAATATGGCTGTTGCTGGCAATCTGGCTTGAAACATAAACATTTTAGAAGCACTTGATGATAATGAGCTTTAAAAAAGGTATCGTCTTAATCACAGTGGTATTAGAACTGTTGAAGAACTTCATTGACCAGTCGGGTAAGAAGTAACAGCTGTTCATGCCTGCATGTAATGTTCACACGGAAATATTTAATGGATAGCATAATACCATTAAATGAAGCCGAATACTTTTAACTGCCCCATCTTTCTAAAAGATCAATCTCTACTAAATGGTTGATATGTCGGTTTATGGTAAAAGTAATTAATACATATACTATGAAAAATTTAAAATTATGAATGGTAAGACCTTATTTATTTAAAAACATTATCAAAATAAAAAATGTTTGAATACGAAACCATTAATGAAGTGTACCATAAAATATTTCAGATTTTTATTTAACATGTTTTCTTGTTTGTTTGTTTTACAATCAAATCTAAGTCAAGAGCAACAAGATTATGTTTGTTTGATTTTTGTAAATTGTGTAAACCATTTTTTAAAACAGTCATTCTTTAAATGACTTTAACAGTCATTATTTAAAACTGTCAAAACATGGTCAATCATATCAGGCAGTAAAAGGGTTAAACGTAACCTTTTTAAGAAATAAAAAAGATCAAATGAACCACGTCAATATATTGTCAAAAACTGTAAACGGAAATTCCTGTAATTCCTTGGAAAACACTTGGCATTTGAAAGCAATTCATTTTTGTAAAGCTTTTGAGTATCGCAAAATAATAATCATTTAAAAAATCATGCTTTATATGAATAGATCTTTACATAACAGCCAATAAATGTGTGCATAGGTCATAAGCGTGCTGGCATTTGGTTTAGATGAGAAAGGTTTAGAAGAGGGAACGCAGTATAAACTACAATCAACACATTTTATGTTCAAAAGTCCAAGCAAAACAACAATTACTCTCTCAAATATAGTATAATAATATAATATAATATAATATAATATAATATAATATAATATAATATAATATAATATAATATAATATAATATAAAAAATAAAAAAATTGTTTCCACGTAAATATTTTAAAATGTTTAATGTATTCTTATGAGGTTAAGGATGCATTTTCACTATTAATATAGTATTATGAACCTACCAGGAATTTTATGATTATTTAAAGAATAAAAAGACCAGGAGAACAGCATTTATAAAAGTTTTATGACATTACAAACACAGGTCTGATCAATATAAATATTCTCTGCAAAACAAAACAAAACAAAAATTGCACTGAATTTGAACATATCTTCCAACATTCCATTTTTATGCCAGATAAATTTTCAAACAGTGATTTATGCCTTCATACCAATTTCTTCTCAGTCTTTAGTAGTCCTATGTACAGCACTTTGGTCAACTTTCTTTGTTTTTTAATGTGCTTTTTAAATAAATATTGTATTGTATTGCATTGTATTGTATTGTATTGTATTGTATATCTAAATACAAAGTAATGTTAATAATCCATGTAAAAGCATGTCTTATTACTAGTACTGTGTAACAAGTAGTAAGTCTTATTGACTTTCTCACTGTATGAAATGCTTTTCTTACTTAGACTTTTTTTTTTGTCTTATTTCTAATCCAAGTGTCTAAAAAAGAAAATCTTGAATAAAAAAAACATTTTCTAGACATCCAAAAAATACTGTCTTGTTAAAAAAAATAATATGCCAAAATCCAGAAGTATTTTCTAGACAAGTAAAAATCACTGTGTGGTTAAAGAAATAAAAAGCCAACAATAAGTTTTTCCTTAAAACAAGCTAACCAATCTGCTAATGGGGTAAGCAAAATAATCTTGTTTTTCCTTTTGACATAATATTATTTTGCTTACCCTAGTGGTAAATCATTGTGCTTGTTACTAGATTTTGACATATTTTTAAAACACAAAGAAAATGCTTTTTGATTTAAGAATTTGTACATGTATGGACTGGAAACAAGACAACAAAATCTAAGAAAAGCATTTGTAAGAGTTCTATTCCAAGGTAACGTTTTGTCTTAGCAGCTTTGTGAATAACTGTAAGCTAGAAATCTCAACAGTTTTTTTAGGAGAACTCTTATTGATACACAAAACTGTCTTGTATAGTATATACTGGCCTAGGGTTTTCATTTTTTTCAAGTAATTCAGGAAACCAAAGGGGCGGATAAGAATCTATAGACTTCCACCTGTCGGTGGTCATTACTGGCTTCAAAATTGTGATTAGATCCAGAAGCAACATTAATGTGAATATGAGCACACAGCAGCTGCCTCTGCCTGGACGGGTTTACATGTCGACGCTTCATAAAGTGCTGAGAGACAGATGTTCAAACGACATGTTCACAGCTCACGGGTGAACTTCATTAAGGAAGGCAAAAACAAAATGATTAATTAAATTCAAGAAGAAAAAAAAAAACGTTGAAGATGTTGATGCCTACCTTTTCTCCAGGAGTTCCTGAGGGACCCTGCACACACACAAAAAAGTAGATTTAAGACAAGATTGTACATATTAAGATGTCTGCATGGTTATTAAAATAAAATAAAGAAAATACAGATTATTAACCATGCAGACAACATAAGTATAAAATAAAATCAAATTACTGATTAATAATAAAAAACAAGACTAAATAAAGACGTCTGCAATGTTAATAAAATAATTAAATACTAATTAACAATATAAATACAAGATTATTAACCATGCATACATGTTAATATGATTAAAATAAAATAAAATACCAATTAATAATGAAAAACAAGATAGTACATATTAAACATCTGAATGGTTAATAAAACAACATTAAATGAAATAAAATAAAATGAAATAAAATACCAATCAACAATAAAAACTAAATTGTACATATTGTGTACATAAGATGTCTGCATGAGTAATAAAATAAAATTAAATTAAATACTTATTATATAATAATATTAAAAAACAAGATTGTTCATATTGAAACGTCTGAATGGTTATTAAAAAATAAAAAATAAAAAAAAATAAAAATAAAATGAAATAAACTAAATTAAATGCCGATTCATAATAAAAACAAGATTGTGCATATTTAGATGTCAGCTTGCTTAATAAAATAAAATAAAGTAAAAATTAATGATAAAAAACAAGATTGTACATATTAAGATGTCTGAATGGTTAATAAAATAAAATAAAATAAAATACTTATTAACAAAAAACCAAGATTGTACATAATAATTTGTCTGAATTGTAATAAAATAAAAAATAAAATAAAATAAAATAAAATAAAATAAAAATAAAATCATGATTAACAATAAATAAAACTACTAAATGGTTAATGGCAAATTTAAAAGTAAAGGGGTAAAACTGTAAAATAACTATTTTATTATTATCTTACAGTAAAATAACATTAAATAACTTAGAAAAAAATATTCACCAATAGTTACAATTCTTACAACTTTCCCACATTTTCTTTGATCTCATTTATATTTTGCCTTGTCAAACAAAGCATCCTTTTTTGTTTATTTAAATATTGCTTACACATGTTTTGCATTTAAAGGTGTTTTGTGTTTCTTTGGTATGCTTTTTGTATTTTGTTGTGTAAAACATCTATACCAACTACATTTACGTTTGGAAAAAACTTTCTATTATTGATGTGTTTATATTTTGTATGTCAGTATATATATATTAATGTTAGAGAACAGAAGTAGTAGTAGTGGTGTGAGTTGTTGGAATTAAAGTGCGTGTCTGTGGGTGTATTTAAATCAATTTCATACATTAGTGATGGTTAAATTATTTCTTTTAGAACATTATCTATTCATAATAATGAAATAAAAATCTAAATGGACATTGCTACATGCTAACTAGATCTCTTTCAGAACACACAAATAAAATGCGTGTTTATACCTGATCTCCTTTTTGAGCTTGCTTTTCAACCTACAGGAGAAAGCAGAAGAGAAATCATCACGCATGTCATCGAACAAAGACGGCAATTAACTTCAGCTGTTAACAAAGGTCAGGAACACTGATATCTTTACAGTACATGACCTACTGAAAGGACAAACCACATGACCATTTACAAGACACACACACACCGACAGGCTTTCAGATGCAGAGTAAAACAGCATGGGTTTCATCTTTCACCTGCCATCCTCGAAACACTGACACGTCTCAGAAACAGCTGCAAAAATAGCCATTCATTCCGAGTGTTCGGTGAAAGTCAGAGAACAAAAGCTTGAAAAGCTCCTAAAGCTGTCACAATGTAACCGTGGAGAAGCAACATGTGATGTTAAAGGTTGTAAAGAAAAGCGACAGATAGCGAAAACGCCAGGATCCACACACAAAAAAAATCTATATCAAAAATGGATAAAATCAAACATTCAAAATGATCAAAAATCAAGAGTCTAAAGGGACAGTTCACTCAAAAAAATTATTCTGTCATTACTTTTCTTCACTTGTTTCAAGTCTGTTTGGTGTCTTTTTGAACACAAAAGAAGATATTTAAAAAAAAGTTGGACACCAGTAGCAATTTACTTCCATAGTACTTTTTTCCTACTATGGGTGTCGATGGTTTCTGGTTTTCAGTACCACTTGAGGGTCAATAATCGGTGAGTACATTTTTTATTTTTAGGTGAACTGTCCCTTTTATCTCAGACCCATTCAACATCAATAACAGCATTTTCAAAATAACAGTTTTGGTTTGTTGTTTAATGCGGTAATGATTCACTGAAACCAAAAATGTTTCAAGAATTTACACTTAGCTAATGATTTATCATAAGCTTGTTTGGCATGCTGTCCCGGAAGAGAGGCGTGAGTTCAAGGGATCCTCAAACCCAGGATTCTTGAGCAAAGGCAGATCTCAAAAACTCACCGGCTGAAGTGGCTAAAGTAAACTACTTTGGGAAGGAAGGGAGCTAGACAAAGTGCCTGTTTTGCTTGGTCTGTTATGTATTATGCATATTTTTGGATGGTGGGAGAAAACCGGAGAACCCGGGGGAAACCCACGCAGACACGGGGGGAAAATACAAACCAAAGGACCAGGGCTGGCAGTGTTCTTGCGGTGGGGTTAACAGTGCTAACCACTGGGCCGCCGTGCCGCTCAATCTATGAGAAAAAAAAGGTGAAGGGGGGGGGCATCTTCCAGACAATAAATGTGGAATGAAGACTTTAATATTTATTTATAGTAGCTTAGGTAACATATGATTGGGGGATCATTATTAGCTAATGGGAGACCGGCACGTGATCCTCCCGAAAGTAGTTTATGAATAAGCTTCACTAAAACTGCTGTCTGAAGGAAGATTTTAAAAAACTCCCAGGTATGTGTAGCCATGTTTTTGGCTTGTCATTTTCTTTAAGTTATGTTTGAGTGTGCGCAGCAATCTCTGTTGCTTACAAAATGCGTGTCTGCGAAATGCCTGATATAATTAAAACACTTCTGCTAATAACTGTGCTAATGGGGTTTGTAAAATACTGTCTACTGATAGCATGCACTGTATACTCTTTCTTGGTGCGCTATGCTGATAGCCAATCAGAACCAATTTTAATGCTTTTTTGAGGCTTCAGATTTTTCCAGTATATCGCCACCTATTGCTTTCCTCGCAGGCACCTTCAAAATCAAAATCAAAATTGATTTGATGTCAAAGCATTTTCGTCCATTTGACATCCACACACTGAAGCCTTTTGAAACACCAAAATGAAAATACAAAAATTGTTATTCATCTTAAAGTTTTAATAATTAATTTACACTGGATTTTGCATTCCTAAAATGTGTAAACTACAGTGCAATGTCAATGATGTTAAGATGAGATCAAATTGACATCTAAAATTGCCGTTAAAAACGCTCCTGTAATCAATTTTAAAAAGTTGACACCAATGTTGATTTTATTTATTTATTCATTTATTTATTTTGAAAAAAAAAATAATAAAAATAAAAATCATACAATTAAAACATTAATTTATCTATTTTCTTTTCGACTTAGTCCCTTTATTAATCTGGGGTCGCCACAGCGGAATAAACCGTCAACTTATCCAGCATATATTTTGCGCAGCGGATGCCCTTCCGGCCGCAAACCATCACTGGGAAACATCCATACAAATTTCTTCACACACGCATACACTAAGGTCATTTTTAGCATACCCAATTCACCTGTACCACATGTCTTTGGACTGTGGAAACCGAAGCACCCAGAGGAAACCCACGCGAACACGGGGAGAACATGCAAACTCCACAGAGAAATGCCAACTGACCCAGCCGGGGCTCGAACCAGCATCCTTCTTGCTGTGAGGCGAACGTGCTACCCACTGCACCACCGCTTCGCCACAATTAAAACTTTTTAAAAAAATACAAAATACATTACTTCATGGTCAAAGTGGAGCAGGATTAAGCACAAGCTTATTATTTTCCCCACCCTATAACCACAAACATCATTTGTCTATTAGTTCAACCTATTTATTCTTTGACTTATCTCTTCTTTTTACATTAGAGGGATTTCATTATTTTGCCATCTTTTTAATATTATATGGTTAATTCACCATTTGTTAATTCTTTTTGTGTCTATCCAATGTTTGATGTCATTTTAACATCAAGGTAGTCAACTGACATCGATTTGTATCTTTGACATGTTTCTTGAAGTTATTTGGATAGAGGTGCCTCCTGGGTTGGCTTGCTCTTGACGCTTCATAGGGTTTGTATGTGAACGTGAACGTATGGATGAGTTTGTTTTTTTAACAGGACAAAAACAAAATCACCTGTGTACATGACATGGCTTGAGTGAGCAATCAAAAGCAACAGATGTCAAAACACAAACAACCACAACCTAATTTACCATAAAATAAAACTGAAACATGCATCAAATCAATCATTACAGTATGTCTGTGCAATAACTTTGGCCACTTCAGCCACATGACAGAATTTACCACTTGACAGAGCATCAGATGCGAAAAAGCCAACATCCACAATTGAATAAAACTCAAAAAACAAATAAACAAACTATGAAACATGCATGAAATAAAAACCTCAACATTGACAAGGAGATACATGCTATTTGTCTTTACAAAGAACATCCTCCACTAAAGCCTGTTAAAAATGTGTTGGTCCTGCACGATTTACAACTTGACTACAGGAGGGAGTGACGGTATGAACGTGTTGTCGGCTCTCACGCTTCCATCCCTGGTATTCCTGCTTGTCCTCATAAAATGTAAAATTAGCCTGAGTAAATAACTGTTAAGTCCTGATATAGTGCTGTTGGGGTTACAGTCCACTGTTTAGGTTACATAAAGGGACAGGACTGAAGCAGTTTATCCTCATAAACAAAGAACATGCTTCCCAATTTTTTTTTTTTTTTGTCTGAACGTGTCCTTCATACGATGTGTGGATTTATTACATAGATCCCTGTTTGTAGGACATGTTTAGCCTCCACAGTCTGTCCACAAAGGTGTTGGTCGCCCCTGACTGAGCATGTGTTGTCTAGCCTTTATATTTGGTTTAGTTGTAAGGTAAAGAGAGTGAAAGCAGTTTCCAAGTCATTACAAAACTGCTATTACTATGGCAAAATATGTAACATAACATATATTATAATATAATATAATATAATATAATATAATATAATATAATATAATATAATATAATATAACATAATATAATATAATATAATATAATATAATATAATATAATATAATATAATATAATATAATATAATATAATATAATATAACATAATATAATATAATATAATATAATATAATATGAAAACAAATCCGAAAAAAGCTGGAACATTATGGATGTCACAATCACCAGCGATCTAGTCCATACAGATTGCTGGAAAACTACAAATCTGCCACCAAAGGAACTACAAATCCTGTCATGCACCACACACTTACACCTGTTCCGGTTCTTCTTTGATTACACACACAGCTGGGAGCTGCTCAAAGACTGATTACATGGACCATATATACAGCACACAAACACACAGACTTGGCTGAGTCTTGTTATCTGTTAATACTGTGAAATTACGACGCGGTTTCCCTTGTCTAGCAAGTATGGACCATCACACAGTGGAAATGTGTACTGTGGTCAGGTGAATCAGTAATTTCAGGTATTTTTGAGGATAAATTTATTCGAATTTTTCATACTGTTCCAACTTGATGATTTGGGGTTATATATGGAAATATTTAAAAATGTAAATTATTCTTATGATGTTAAGGCAAAATGTTTTGCATCTTTACAGAATCCTAAACCTGCATTTGTGGAAACTGTAATGCATTTTATTTTAGAATTATTTGGTGACACTTTATATAAACTGCATACGATGAATTGTGTGATTAAGCAAATAGTAATTCATCATTTGATAAGCACTAACTCTACATTAATAGACATTAGTAAGCAGTTTGTAACTACGACTACAAATGCTGTATTCTTGACCCAAGCACATTTATACACGGTAAAACCAGACATTCAAATTTGTAACAATTAAATGAGTGGTTGACTCAAATTTACAAAAAGATAATTCTACTTATTTGAAAAAAAGTTTTTAACTCAGTGTTGAAGGTAAAAGGTTAATTAAAAACGTAAATGGAGTAAGTTCACAGTACTAAGACAAGTTTTTGAACTCAAATAGTTTGTTGCAATCGGTTTCCTTAAAATGGTTTGAGTTACCTTAACTTTTTGGGTTTTACAGTGTAGTGTGCTTACAGATTGTGTATTCACTTTGTTAATGATTCATTTTGCACTAAATTAAGCATTGCATAAATTAAAAACTAGGTATTCAAGAGTAGTTAAACATTTTTAATGTCATTTTCAAACAGTAAACAAATGATTAATAAACTATCCAGATGAATATTTATACATCTTATTAGTCAGGCATATAGTAATGGTTACTTTATCCTGATGAATATTTATTTTGAAAAAATTGTAGTAAAAGTTACTTTTTTTATGTTGAT